TAGTGGGGAGACCCTATCCTTGCCTCATAAAGTCAGCCTGTACCACTCAAAACTATCTTGATGGTTTAGGTTAAGGGTGTAGACACTTACAGATTTTTAACTGAATGATTTAAAGAGAATTGAAGGATCTGGATCTTCCACTGTAATATATTCACACCATTGTAAAGCCAGGAAACAAACAAACAAGCGAACAACAGCTACCACGAACATTGTTGATATGAATTCCCAATTGAACAGTGAATGTTAAACCATCTCCCAGGTTCAGTTACATCTGCTGTCATAGCTTCTAGACATCACAACTGTATACAAAATATTTTTCTTCATTACGTTCTTTAGTTCTTTTTGTCCAAATCATTCCAAAAATAGGTGGCAGGGGAGTGGAGAGCTGAATTTGATCAGAACAACTATACATAAAGTATTATACACAAAATCTGCATGCCAAACAGCAGAGAAAAAAGAGGTGAAAATACACAATTATAAGAGGCTGTTAGAACAGAAAATGTTGTTGTATTTGTACCCTGGCTTGGTTTTTAGCTTCCTGTTGTTCAAAATAAAAAGCTATTTACAGTTTGATGAGGAGAAAACATGGCATTTTCTGGGTTTTCACAATAAAAACAGAAGCATATGGATCTTTTCGAAGGGACTTAAATATGACCCTTATGGTAAATACAGTCATGTGTCTCACAGATTGCTTTTGCTACCAACCCTGCATGAAAACTAAGATAAAACTCCAAAACAAAATCCAGGGAAACTCTGCAGATGGCTAAAGTAATGTGGCTGACCTACAAAGAACTTTCTTATGGTCAAATATGATGAAAAGAAAATATCAGAGTACATTTATAAATGATGCAGCAAAAAGGCCACACAGTGGATGCTTCAGGTGTAGAGATAAAGCTCAAGCCTCTCTTAGAGTGAAAAGCTGGACTGGACAATGGGGTAGGAGTCTGTAGGAAATTCTGAGGCCCTCTTTGGGTGGCAATAGAGTGGTAAATTTATCAGGGGCACATGTACCTTATATGTTCCCAAGTTTATTACAAAAGAAGTTCTCTGGCTGATAATAAAACCCAACAGAAGAGCCTGGAATCATATACCACAGACAGGATTTTCTGGAAGTATTTTCCTTGGAACACAAACCATAGAATGAGCCCTAAAAATGGTTCTGGTGTCAAGTTTGGAAAATACTGCAATCAATTCTTTTGGAAAATTATGATGTACATTAACACATTCAAGATCTTCAGGAAATGAACCTGATTTTATTTTTGCTGTTTCCTATTTATTTGATCACCAGATCCACAGTTGACGTCTGCTGTGACTTAACAGTCTAAATTTAAACACACCTTAAAAAGCATTTTGCTAGACTGCATCTGAAGACAGTGACTCAGTGTTCTATTGGGATGGAAATATGACTAAGAAAAAGTCACTTTGAAGAATGCAATGAAAAATAAACAGTAGATATCAGCTCTAAGCTCTTGTAAAACCACAACCAGAGTACCTCAAACAAGAGTGAAGTGGAATTAAAGCCTCCTCAATACCCCAAAAGGCTACAAAAATGTATATCTATATCATCTATATCTGTGTAAGTATCTCAAATATCCTAATGAAAGATATTCAAATGTGAAAGTTTCTTTCTACACTATAAACTTTCGTGACTTGACTTTTAAGATGAATTTTTAAAAGCTGTAGTTTGCCAATTTAAGGAAAATAAAGGAACCTGTTGTCCAAATCTTCCAAGACTTTCATTTTAAACAGAAAACCTCAAACATTTTAAGTGTCCAATTTGAAGTTAAGGACTTTTGTTTGATATATACAAAAGTGTAGGATAAATTTTGTTAAATGGCCTTTGTGAAATGCACACATTTAATTTCCCTAAAAAGATGGAATTCTAGAAAGAGTAAGGAACAACCTTGGATGCTGGAGGAGAGTGTGAACACCCAGGTGAGACAACTGCACATCTCATTTGAATCAAGGACAACTGGTGAGTTAAACTGCCACATCATTCTTGTTTTTTTTTTTGTTTGTTTGTTTTTCGTTTTTCTTCGGGTACCAGGAATTGAACTCATAACTTTGCGCTTGCCAGGCAGGCGCTTTGCCACTGAGCTAAATCCCCAGCCCCTGCCACATCATTCTTAAATCTGGTTACATTTACAATACAAATGAGAAGTGCTTTAGTTAGCATTATTTTATATGTCAGCCACAACTTCAACTGAAATAACAGAAGATATAGAGATAGGAATAATTCATCAATAGATCCAACAATACTTATCCTGTGTTTTTATCTGTGATTGACCGACAGAACTTCAAGGACATTGTAAACGCTTGAGGTAGGTAGTGAGGCCAAGAATTCAACTCTCACTTCCCCTCACAGACCACCCTGAAATAACTGTAATCCACTCTTATCCAAGGTTTCTCTTTCTGCAGTTTGTTATCTGTATTAAATGAAAAATTCCAGAAATAAACACTTCCTAAGTTAAATACATTTTATTACACTGCTAAAGTTGTATTTTATGATTAATTTCTTACTGTACCTAATTTACAAATTTTGTCATAGGTACATGTATATAGGGAAACAGCATATAGGATTTAGCACTATTATAGTTTCAGGCACTGGTTGGGAATCTTGGCACATATCCTCCTAGATCGCTGTATTCCAATAGTTTGAATTTCCAAGCCAAATGACATGAATCCAGTCTTTGATGACTCCAGCTTTTGGCTTTGTGGTGTTGAACAATCTTCTTGTGCTTTTCTTTACCTTAAAATCTCACCTTATATTGGAGTATTCAAAATCAACCCTGATAAAAGGATTTGAAATAGTACAAATAAAGCACCAATCAAATATATGCTGTATATAGTGTTCAGAAACAAAACAGCATTTCTGACAATTCTGGTAACATTCTTACTGAATGGTCTTAGATTTTATTGGGTGATAATGTTCTGGTTGGATTAAAAATTTACTACTTTTTTACCCACAAGCTCCTTAGATGCAAGCTGTAATATCCCCAAATAGTTTTAAGGTAGAAAAGATACTTGAAGACATAAAAATGATAATGCTTGCACAATGTCTAACCCACTGCAGTAAAGCCATTTCTATCCTAAGAATCAGGGCAATTTGTAGGCTCATTTGCAAACACTGGACACCCTATGAGGACCCTCCTTCAAAAACACATGCCAGGCTGTGAGTAATGGTGGCTGACATGAGATAAACATCTGGACAAGGCAGAGCTGTACTGTGCTCCTCCATATTTCTTTGCTGTGCCAAGGTTAGAGCCCATTAGACACAGCCTTCATCTTCATTACGTTCAGGTTCTTTTCCAGGTCCTGAGGCACCAGGTGGAAAAGAGGTGCATGATGTACAACCAAACCCTTCTGATTGTTCCCTGCAGAATGGTGAAGCTGTTATAGCCAAGAAGTACAGAGAAAAGCTCTTCACTTTCTTGCTAGAAAGTATTGTAACACAGTAGATGTGTTCTAAATGTGTCCCTTACTTTCTTGAGAAACTATAACCACTGTATTAGTTTCCTATGCTTGTTGTAACAACTTACCACAAATTTAGTGGCTTAAAGCAGAACAGATATATTACTTTGAGTGCAAGAGGTCACATGTTCTAAAATCAAAATATCAGACAGGGTTTTGCTCCTTTTGGAATCAATAGCAGAGAATTAGTTTCACTGCCTTTTCTAACTTTTAGAGGGTGCCAGAATTCCTTAATTTGTAGCCCTCCATCTTCAACACTAACAGCATAGCATCTTCACATCTCTGCCTTTTCTGCTGGTCAACAAATCCTTCCTCTGACCCTCCTATTTTCCTCTTATAGAGATGATTGTGATTACACTGGATCTTCCCAGATAATCCAGGACAACTCTTTGTGTTAGTCAGCTTCCCTTTACTATAATAAAATTTTTGAGATCATCAGTTTAAGAAGGGAGAGGGTTTGTTCTGAACCAGTTTCAGAGGTCGCATGCTACTGTTGCTTGGCTCTGTTGTGGCACAGTACTTCATGGTAGATGTGTGTGATGGAGAAGGTTTGTTCACTCAAGGCAGTTAGGAAGCAAAGAGAAAGCAGAAGCTAGGGTCCCAATATCCCCAGCAACAGCACTTCTCCATGACCTAACTTCCTTTCGCTAGGCCACACCTCCTGAATGAGCCTCCACCTCCCAATGGTGCTACCTGCTGATGACAAGCCTTCAACACACGAGCTTTGTGGGGCATTTAAAATCCAAACTGTTGTATCTAGCCAAGATCCATAATGTAACATCTGCAAAATCTCTCTCGCCTCCAAAATTAACATATTTGTAGGTTCTGGATGTCAAAATAGGAACATCTTTAGCAAGCTGTTATTCTGTTTACCAAAGTATATTGATAACTTTGATAGTTTTTTAAAAGTAGCTTCATCATTGTTAAGATTATATTCATTATATTTACCTCATGGGGATGACATAACCTGAATTAAGCAATGAGTAGAATGGCAGACAGAACAAGGCACTCACCAACTGTCCGTTAGAACAGCTACTCTTAATTGTCAGGTATGGCTCCTAATCTGCATTCACCATGACCAGCGGCCACTTCGCCTTTTGGGCCTATTTCCTCATCTCTGTATGTGTACCTTGAGTTTCTTCATTGTTATTTTTATCCTTTAAATGCTCTGTTATTTGAAAGCAAGTCTAGTTTATACTGAGATGCTAACACTACTACACTGTTTTTAAAAAGAAAAGAAAAAGCAGTCCACTGGAGCACAGCACGGTGGCACAAGCCTGTAATCCCAGCACTCTGTGAAGATGAGGCAGGAAGATCACAAGTTCAAGCCCAGCCTGGGCAATTCAGCAACTCAGTGAGACCCAGTCTCCCCCACAAAAGAAATAAATACATGAATACATACATAAAAAGGGATGGCAAGATGGGAATGTAGTTTAGTGCAAAGGCCCGAGGTTCAATCCCTAGTATCACATGAAAGGAGAAAAAAAAAAAAAAAAAAAAAAAGACAATTTCAGAAACATTTTAATTTATGAAGTTATTAAAAGTATGTTCTTTTAATGTTCGTGTAGAGGCCAAAACATTGATGGGAAAAACTGGGGAAGAAGTTTATGAATTATTAATTTATATTCTTAACTACTACAGACTGCCTTCATCTAACATAGTTATAATACTACACTATAAGGAATTATTTCCCTTATGTAGATCAGAAAGGGGAATGTACATTAAAACAGGTTACTCATATGTGGTCATTAGTTTATTACAATATGTATTATTATATACAATTTTGTTTAATAAGAATACATATATAAATCATACTTTAAACAAAAATCTATGTATGAAATATATAAGCCGTAACATTTTAAAGGAAAGAGAAAAGCTATGAAAACATTTACCTGAAATGTATTAATACTGAAAAACACTAGTGTGTGCATAGTAATGATCAAAAGCTTTTTATAACACAGAAACACTGGTAAATCTTCAGGTATTGAAAGAACAAGCTGTTATAGGAAAAGCTCAAATTAGACACATGAACATCTTTAGATCTGCACTGTCTACAAATACATCCCTTAAAATAGCAGTACTATAAGCCTTCTTTCTTTGGCACTTAGCAATACAGACAAAGGTGTATTTAGTTTAATGTGATTTTATTATTTCAGATAAACTTTAATTATTTTATATAGGTAAAAATATACAATATTGCTTTAAAAATTTTAATTTAAAAGTGTATAACTGGTTGTTACCATAGTCACAATTTTAAAATCCTAGTTTTTCAGCTAAACAACTCATACAAGAACATATGGAGTAACAAAAATGGTTTTTATGAAGCCTTTTAATGAAAAACTTAAACATAAAAATAGAATATTAATCTAAGTCACTGGTTTAAATTCCTAGTGATAACTCACTGTGGAAACAGATTATGAAATATTTTAGACAAATCTTTTTTCAACACTTGCATTAATTGTAAAGACTTAAAATTTTGACTGAAAATGCACGGAACTGAGATACTTTGTCTCAGGTCATGTTTATATACATTAATTTATTTAAAAAGGAGATACAGATGTACTGATCTTGAGAGTCCATATTTGTTTTGAATAATACATTAAAAATGTGTATACGCATTTAAAATGTTATATGCAAGTAAAATAGCAGATAGTGGCATTTTTTCCTTTAAATTGTTTAAGGATAGTGAAGTTGGTAAAGTGACAAATTTGCCTTTAGAAAACCAATTCCTAAAGGTAAACAAACTATGTAGTTTTCTTTTTGTTGATATCAACCTGAAAGCAGTTCAATTTGATTTATTAAAACACACTGATAAAATATATATAAAGCCCAAATTATTTATGTGCATATATAAGGTATGGACTACTCTTAAATGAAATAGACAGTATTTTACAAGTCATTTTGTTCATTATGTCTGTACAATGCACCATTCTTTTTATTCTTTACAATACTCTGCACCGAAAATTTCTATCTTCAACCTTGAAACTCTTCAAATGTGTTAAAAAAACAAAGTTTCCACTGTTTTAAAAAGTGAAATTTACAGTCACTGTATCATAAAGGGCTATAACTCTAAGACATTTTGCATTTGATCTTAGCCCAAAGGCTGAAAGTGATGCTCTAAGACATTTTAAAGAAAATTCATATACACTGAAATGAGTGTTTCACTTAATATAATTGAAAAGCTAGATATAAACTTGTTTTGCTTCTTTTCACTGTAATTTAATAAACATGATTGCATTTAGCACAAGATTTTCACATGGCAACATTCAACTACCATTGTGAAGATTTCAGGAAAGATAAACAGTGGTATATCTTTTCTGAAAACACTGCTGAAATTTAAGTGCTACTGTCTTAATATCTATATAATAATTAAGAAATAATTTAGAAAGACATTTTACTTTGGAATTTTTCAACATAAGGCACATAGCAATATTTAAAGCACAGAAGCAACTAGATTATATAATAAATAATTATCCTATTAATATTTGTCCTTTACCTGAAGATAGTGGGTGAGTAGTGCAGTAAAAATGTGCCTGAATTAATAAAAATGAATTTAGGAAATCTAAGTAATATTTGTATGCAGAATGCTATTAATTTAAAAAGTAAAAGAATATGTAAAATATACATCCTACAGTGTCATAGGTAGGAAAAAATGTGAGGCACTTAAGATCAACAATACAGGAGAAAAACATTGAGAGTATTGTTTCATAAAACACCAAACCACTTAACAGGTGAGAAAAAGCAGAGACTAAAAATATGGGGAGATAAGTTAGTCTTTCAACTTTGTATTTAGTACACTGATGAAAATCCGTAAGTTCAAACTTTAACGTATTCCATTTTTATTCTGACAGAAATAATTCACATGGAGCAAGTTTCCTGACTTCAAAAGGTCTTAAAGTGCCACTGAGTAAGTTTTGCATATTCTGTGGCAGCCAGAAGACAGGAAATGTACGCCACCTCCCTACCTGGCAGCACACTTTCTGTTTTAACAAGGATCGTCCACGTAATGTTGAATTTTACAAAAGCCAAGGTTAAAATTCGGTTTGGAATGAACAGTGTGAATAACACGTGTCACTGCCATCGTGTGAACCTGCTGACATCCAACACGGACAGTTTTTTAATTCTGTGATTGTTCACAAACTAATCAAAAATTAAGGTGAAAACTGGGTTTGTAGTTACAGGAATCCGCTGGGTGTCAAGTCAGAGAAAGGTCTGGTTTCTGCTGGGTGAGGAAATGGCTGAAGATGCATGGCAGCCTCAGTGCTATTTACGTTATTTAACTCAGCAGGGTATATGTCATTTAAAACTCCTCCTCCGTCCTGAAACTGAAAGCAACAACAGCAATGCAACTGATTAGGACAGATCTTCAAAATGTCAGCCATTAAATCACATATTAATATATATCAAATTCTTTTACTGCTGTTAAATTGCAAATTCTTTCAATAAAGGCATACTGAGAAGGCACTATGTATTAGTTGCATTTATCACCTTTTGGTTTGTTCATGAACTACAAAAACTTTTGGGTTTTTTTGGTCTTTTTGAGACAGGATCTTGCTATGCAGTTCAGGCTGGCCTCGAACTCACAGCGATCCTCCTGCCTCAGCCTCCCGAGTGCTGGGATTACAGGCATGTGCTACCATGCCTGGCACTACAAAAACTTTTGAAGATAGTATAGGTGAGTGATAGAACGGACTCACTTCAGGTCATCTTTGGGTCATACAGATATTAACAGGTCAAAGACAACCAGTCATGAGTCCTACTAAACATTCTCTGCATAAGTAGGTTTGCGGTGCCCAACTTCATGTCACTCAATTACCTGACAGCAATGAATAGATTACTTCCAAGATTACTGCATTGGATTGCAGAGGACCCAGGACCCTTCCAAAAAATGACCAGTTCTGATTTTCTGAAGGTTTACTGATAGTCCTAAAATAATACATCATGAGCATGATTTCCTTAACCAATTCTTATTTATAATATGATTTAAATTAACAAATGCCACTAAAAGCACAGCTCCAGTTAAGAAACTGAATTATCAAAAGAAAATGCTCTTTCTTGCCTCTTCCACTGAAACTAGTCTAGTTTTTGGAACTGTTACAAGAAAAAAAAAAAAAAGAAAAAGAAAAAGAAAAAGAATGCAACAAAGAAAGGGCAGAAGGGAGGAAGGCAGGGAGGGAGGGAAAAAGGGAGAGAGGACACAGATATATAGTTTTTGTAGAGTTTTACAGATCACACAACCTTTACATTGCAGTATACAGTGAAAACTGCAGAAACTTTCAAACAGATTAAAATCACCCCCTAGCTCCTTTCGAACAACATCTGCTTTTCTAAAGGCTGTATAGCAGTAGGCTTTAGTAATCAAGAGTGGCTACTCTGAAACCCTCCCAGACACACATCCGATATACAGCAAGCCACACCTGCATCTTAAATGAGTGGCAAGGCCATCTGGAGACGCTGTCAGGTCTCCAGACACGAAAAATCTCATCCGCGCAGAGAACGGCAGGGTTTAAATGAGTGTTCTCATCACTCACTGCACAGTGTGTGTTGGCATTCCCTTTAAATATACTGTACAGACATGCGAATCTGATTTACTTCACTTATGAGTGTGGGCTCTAGTGACGTCCATTTACCCATAAAAGCCTCGAGGTTATCTTTCTTTATAGCTGAGCAATACTCCTTTGTATAAAAATACATCTTTTTTAACCATTCCTCAGTTGATGGACATTTGGGTTGTTTCCAAGATTTAGCTATTACAAACCACACTGCTATAAACATGGATGCACATATATAGCTGAGGTATGATCTTTTCAGCCACATTCAAAGAGATAAAAAAGGTAAATTAATTTTAGTAATACAGTTCATTTAATCCAATAAAGCAGAAGTTATTTCAACATGAAATTACTAAAAAAGATGAGATTATTTGCCATTGCTTTTTCAAGCTGTTTTTAAAATCTGGAGTCACTTTACGTTTACAGCACATCTTGATTTGGAATAGTTATACTTTGAGTGCTCAAGAGCCACATGTAGCAGGCGGCTACCCTGAGGGAATATGTAGGTCTACAGAACTATTATTTTTTTCTATTTATCATAATAATGTTACAACTCAATTTTCTTAAAATGTTATTACTTTTAATTGACATGTAATAATTATTCACATTTGTGTGAACATTATATGGATATGATGTATCAATGTATGTACATCATTTGTAATCAGGACAATTAGCACATCCATCACCTCTCACATTTATCATTTCTTTGTGTTGAGAATACATGAAGTCCTTTCTTCTCTTTTGAAGCACACAATATATTATTAATAACTATAGTCACCAGGCTGTGCTGCAGGACACCAGAACTTATTACTCTCATCCATTTATCTCTACTCAGTAACAAACTCTTCCCAGCCTCCTGTGCCAGCTTCTGCTAACTCTACTTCTGTGAAACCCTGGGTTTTCATCTTCCACATACGACGAACACTGTTGGTGTTTGTCTTTCTGTGCTTGACTTATTTCACTTAACATAGTGTCCTACTGTTTCATCCACATTGGACAAGTGGCAGGATATCATCCATTTTTATGGTGTTCCACTGTGGATATATACCACATTTTCTTAATCTAAATGCTAAATTTTAATATAATTTAAGGATGTCAGGAATGAGAATGAGAAACACCTTTCTCATTACTTTCTATTAAAAGCTCATACATAATCAGACAAACCAAATGTCTGAAAAAAGCCGGAAGAAATAATTAGGGATAAAGATTCAAATGAAGGCACATTTTGCTTTTTTTTAGTACTGGGACTCGAAGTCAGGACCTGGCGCTTGCCAGGCAAGGCTCTTGTGCCACTGAGCTACATCCCCAGCCTCAAGACACGTTTTTAAATTACTATACTATACTCAACTACACAGTAGAAAGGTCAATGAACTTACTTCTAGACAACATATTCTTCAAAACTAAATTGGAATATACTAAAAATGAACTAAATTTTTCTGAAGGAAAGGCATAAATGCATTGCTGGCTTCACTGTCTGTAAGATATTCTTGAGTATTTTTCCTAACACTGGTTTGGTGTCATGAATTTCTTGAAGTGCCCCTTAAACATTATATATTCCTGGGTGGCAATAGGTACCAACTATTATCAGTGTTAAACTTATTTTTTTAAAAACCAAAAACATATATTTAGTTAAAGAGTACTTTCTTGTAAAAAGACTTCTGCTCACATATTTAAATAAAAACATCAAACCTGCCTCCCATGACACAAAGTCACTTTTTAAGAACTTTAGGAATAAACAAACAGACTTCACCTGGATTCCAGGCATAATCCAAGACTGGTGGCAAACCGATGGCACTCACATTACAGTGTTTTTTCTTTTAAGACAAACGATGTTAATGTATGCATTGCTTTTTCTAAGCTAAAACCTCAGGATCCAGTGCAGTACTGGCACTTGGTGGTAAATAATCAGATTTCAGGTTGCAATTTGGCACTTGGTCTCCAAAAGGTTCCCCATCACTGACCTAGGGCACAGGCATTCTAAGAAAGCACACTTACCTTTGACTGAAACCCATTCAAATATGTACGACAAAACTTTGTCTTGGAGAAATTATTTTTAAAACTTCAAAGTTTTAAAAGCTTAAACTTTTAAGAAGTCATAAAAATTTTTAAAGAATCCTAAAAGATAAGTGACATTCTATTCAAAATACACTTTTAACTAATTTCACCTGGTAATTTCGGACATTTTACATTAAGGACATACTCACGCTCCTTTGGGCCTTGGTTTCTTTCTCCTTTATGATTCAGGGAAATAAATCAGTAACATACCAAAAAATCTATATGCTTACAAAACAATAGTCAGTGATATAATTGGCAATGCTGGTTTATAAACACTGCAGATAATAAAATCAGTCACTGAGTCAAAAATTTTGTAACTCATGCCTATTTATTAATAGGGTAAAAAAAAAAAACCTGCTGAAAGGGTTTATTCAGCTCTTTAAAATGCTTACCTTTCCCTCACCCCAGTTTTTTTTTTTTTGGTACTGGGAATCAAACACAGAACCTTGAGCTGGCCAGGCAGGCACTTATGCCACTGAGCTATATCACCAGCTTTTTTTTTTTTTTTTTGGTAATGGGAATCAAACTCACGACCTCACACTTGCCAGCGGGGAAAAGAGAAAAGGGAGATAGCTAAGATAACTGTACCACTAATTTCTAGTGATTTATTGAAAGGAACAGTTAATGTTTAACTGTTTGAGCAATCTTGCATTCTTACATCTGGTAATCTGAGCAACTTCATGGAAGATAACAATATGCAATATAACAGCCATTGTTAATTTCCTATCATCTTATTTTGAAATTCTGTATCTTTTTAGTTTTTGTCTTGTTGTTATTTTGTTTTTGTTTTCTCTCTTTAAAAAACAAACTCTTACCTTGTTTAGAAACACCTGTGGACCTGGAATTGCTGGATTGTACTGCATCTGATCCACACGGCTGTGCTGAGGTTCTGGTTGACACTGATACGCTGACACGGCCCCAGCATAACATGTCTGAGGAGTTACTATGGTGGACTGTGGGTTTATTCCATGCCTTTGGTTTTCAGGAACTTGTAAACAAGTGGCAAAATCTTCTAAATTAGAAGTTGTATGGTACAGAGATGGTTCAATATTCCCTAAGGGAAACTCCAACTGCGTACACTTGGAATGCTGGGGTAATAAAGACTGATCACAGGGAGCAAAGTTCTGTGTGTAAGGCATGGTCCCCAGCTCAGCTTTGTAGGGAAACTGTGGATTTGCCCCATGTAAATCTGGTAACACGTTATACTGCTGTAGGTCTTTCTGAGGACAACTGAAAGGCACAGATGAGTTAGAGCTCCAGTTTGCAAACAGGCCATTAACTTGCATGTGTTTCATTTTCTGACACAGTTGTTGCTGAGGCTCCGCTACTATCTGCTTTTCATGGTGCTGCAGCTGCTGCTGCTGTTCTAACTCTAGATGTTCTTGTACCATACAGCTTGAATTCAGAGCGACAGCCTGGGGCTGCTGGTACTCTGAACTCAGGAATGAAGACTTACGTAAAGAATCTTGGACATAAGTCAGTATTTCATCCCTTATGTCAATGTCTCTGAAGTCGACCTCACCAGAAACATCAGTTCTGAAAAATTCCTCATTCTGCATGCTCTTGATATCTTCAAAATCAATGCCGAGGTTTTTCATAATGTTGTATAGTTCACTATTTTTATTATCTGGAAGAGCCCCAGCATGACCTCCAGAAAGCACTGGGTTCATCTCCTGAGTCTGTCCAATTTGCTTAAGTCTGAGGGTATTATCGTTTTCCATTGGTACAATATTGTCTTGCCAATGACTGTAGTCAATCATAGAATCATTAAAAAAATTTGTTTCAAAAGGTACAGTATTTGAAGCAGGGCAGTGATAAATAGACTCATCTTGTTGCATCATGGCAGCCAAGAGGGAACTGGGATGGAGAGAATCGTTATTCTCAGTTGGTCTGGTGGCAGAATCTGGTCCACTAGTGGTGCTTTTAGTCCGTATTGGTAAAGGATCCATCATTGGAGAAAAAGGGTTGCTCGCCTCGTACAGCACAGCTTCTCCAGTGGTAAACATAAAAGGCAATGTTGTACTGCGTTTTCGTAAATGCTCTCTTCCCTCTTCATCTCTAAAATTTTGTACAGAAAAGTCTGTATATATTAGGAAGGGTTTCATTATAAACACTTTAAACAAGATATTAAATAAAAAGAAAAATAGCAAGTAAAATATACTATAACTGAGTCCAACAGCAGGGCGCACGGACTTGATTTTGACCTAAATTAGTCTCATGACTCATGCTAGAAAATATAGACAAATACACTTAAATGACTTAGAACTCTGATTTAGGGGCCGGGTGTGGTGGTGCATGCCTGTAATCCCAGCACTCGGGAGGCTGTGGCAGGAGGATCATTGCGAGTTTGAGACTAGCCTGGGCTACAAAGTGAGCTCAAGGCCAGCCTGAACTGCATAGCGAGACCCTGTCTCAAAAAGACAAAAAGAAAAAAAAGAACTCTGATTTATAATTTTTGTCAAAATGTAACATGGTGGTTAATTCCATTCTTAGGCTACATTCTTATCCTGATATCCTACAGAAAAAAAATTTATCTATTTTTATATTTGTAAATATAAAAACAACCTATAAGAATTTATGACTTTGATCAGAAGAGGGATGTGCAAATAAAATAGCAAAACAAAAGTTTTATAGATAAAACAACGGGATAATTGGCAATGTGAAAATCAAAACTTTCTATATATTTGTAAAATAATTCATAAATCAAATTTAAGCATGGAGAAAATTATACGTACATTTATACCTTAGTATATACATGCAAAAATTATATATATATGAGTGTATATATATATATATTTTTAACATGTAAATGCAAAATTTCACATCACAGGCAAAGAGTTCCAATGAGTCTACAAAAGACGCAAAAGGTACACAGGCAAGTAGAAAGCCAAACGATATTAACTGGAAATTCAGAAAAGAAAAATGTTTCAAAATGGTATAAAAAGGTAACGTGCCTCATCCGTAATTAGAAAATGAAAGCTTCTGTAACTGTTCTTAGTAACTCATAGAACACACATATAATGATAAGTAAAGATATGAACACAACAAATAAACTAGATCACTGATACTGACAGTCACAAAAAGACCACACTTGTGAACAACAGAACAAGTATCTTGTACAGGATATATGGGATATTTTATCAACATAGAACATATACTAGATCATAAAATAAGCTATCCTATATTTCAAAGGAATATGAAATCCCTTCAAAGGACTGAAATTCATGGAGAATGTTTTTGACTACAATGGAATTAAGCTAAAAGTCAGTTACAAAATAAATAGAAAAATTGGGGCTGGGGATTTAGCTCAATGGCACAGCGCCTGCCTGGCAAGTGCGGGGTTGTGAGTTCGATTCCCGGTACTGGAAGAAAAAACCAATAAATAAATAAATAAATAAATAGAAAAATCCTCTGATATCAAAAAGTTCAGTAACACTATATTTCTAAATAACATGAGTACAAGAGAATAATTAAAATTAGAAGAAATATTTGCAATTGAAGGATAAAAATAAGAAATCAGAATGAAGGTTGTAGTTAAAATAATCCAAAGGAAAACTGATACATATTTTCAGATAGTCAAGAAGAAAAAAATTGGAAAAAAATAGCAAGTTATTTCCAAATAAAAGAAGGAAATAATAAAGAGAAAACAAATGAAATGGAAAACATGTGAAATAAGAATCAATAAGCCAAAGGTTGTATCTTCAAAGATTTGATAAACTGATGGTCTTGCAACACTGATCAAGGTTGAGTTCAAATTTGTATGGGTACATAAATACCCAAGTCTCCATACTCACAGATACATATATACTCGTACTTATAGGAGTACATACACACATCCATGCATTCATCACGTTCATGGATTAGAAGACTTAGTACTGTAAAGATGTTAATTCTCCCTCAAATGATTTACAGTTTCAATGTAATCCCACTGAAAATTCCAACAGATATTTTGCTGGGAACTAACAACTGATTTCTAAAATACACATGGACATATAAAGAGTAAAGTGAGTTGAGGCGATCTTAAAGGAGGACAACCAAAGCCAAATAAATTAAATGAAGAATATACTCAAATATCAAAACAGTATAAACATACAGTAATTAAGGCCATATAGACGGCACAAAAATAGACAACTAGCCCAATGAAACTAGACCAAGAATGTCTAGAGACAGAACTACAGAAGAAACCCTTTGACTGAAAGCCAGGACAATAAACTGTCTTTTCAGCAAGTGTTACTGGTCAATTTGCTATATATAAAAGAATAAAAATCAGTATTGATCCTTATCTTGGAAGCCACATACAAAAAGCAATTCTCCAGAGTGACAGAAACTGCAAATATTTGACAAAGAGCTCATTCCCAGAATACATAAGAAAATCTTATTAAGCACTGCTGTGTTTAGAGAGCATATTCTAAACAAAGCATTGTTTTATTTTTCTTTTATCTTACAGATGGTGATAACTTTTCACTTGTCCTTCATAAACCCAGGATTAAAATTTTGGAGTGGTCATTATGTCATTCTCTTTCTGTAGCATTACATGTTTCACTCCTCAATAAAGATTGTGCATTCTGTCTTCTCAATATCTCTTACCCATGCCTCTTATTTCTATACATACAGTATTTTACATTTCAATTTTCAATTGCCTTAGTATTAAAGTTTTTATGTAAGAAGATTTATAAACCAAACTGTTATCAAAGAACCAAAACAAGACACATTCGCAGGCTGCTTGCTTACGTCAGAGCTCGCTGAGTGGCAATGATATAGTCCGGTCTTCCATTTTTGTACACTACACGTGCGTTAGACTGCATCCAGGTCCAGCGGTTGTGCTTTGTCAGGAGCCTGAAAACCGTCATGCCACTTTCTCCAGTCTTCATCACTAAGATAAAAATTCAGTCATTGAACTCGGAATCAATATACTTAAACATTCTCTGAAACAAAGCCCTCCAAAATTTTGATGAATGCATTGCATATCACCCACCAATGATGATAAGCATCTTAACAACTAGTAAGGCCATGGAAACAATTTTTCAGAATTTCTTTTTTTTTTTTTCTGTTTTTTTTTTTTAAATTTTGGACTACACGTTTACAATGTTAAAGGGAAGATTAGGTATCAATGAGAGGATCTGGGTTAACAGATGCAGTACACAGATGATATTAATTTGGTGGGGAGGAAGATTTTTTAAGAATTGCTTTACTTTTAAATAGGGAATATATTCCCACACATTTGCAATACTTCACAATTTTAAACTTTAAACCTAAATTCATATAACTTACAAATTAATAATGATACCATTCAAGAATTCCTGAGCAAAACTTTTTGGACTCAAATTGTCATTTTCATAATAATTAAAGTACTATGTTGCTGTGTGGCAGCAAAGCTACCATGGTGAAAACAGAATGGTACTGGTAAAAACAAAATAAAACACCAGACCTCAGGAGTGAAACAGATTAGAAGAAGCAGACACAACTCCAAACACACTCAGACACCTTATCTTTGACAAAGGGACCAAACATGTTCACTGGAAGGAAGACAGCCTCTTTAATAAATGGTGCTGGAAAAACTGGCTCCGCACATGCCCAAGATTAAAACTAGATCCTTATCTCTCACCAAGCACTAAACTCAAACTGAAATAGATCAAAGACCTAAATATTAAAACAGAAACACTAAATCTGTTGGAAGACAGAATACGTAGAACTCTTAAAGACACAGGTATAGGCAAAGACTATGAATAAAACCCAGACTGCAAGGGAAATATTACAAAGAATCAACAACTGGGATCTCATCTTATTAAAAAGCTTTTGCACAGCAAAACAATCAACACAGTGAAGAAACAACCCACAGAGTGGAAAAAAAAATTGCCAGTTGTTCCTCAGATTAATATCAGGGTATACAAAGAAATTTTAAAAAATCAGACTCCCAAAAGTTTAAAGACCCAACTCAAAAATGGACATTTGAAATGTACAGACACTTTTCACATGAATAAGTAGAAATGACAAATAAATATATGAAATAATATTCAAGCAAGTAATAATGCTGAGATTCCACCTCACTCCAGAAGGAATGGCTACTATCAAGAAATCAACCAATAACAAATGCTGGCAGGGCTGTGGGGAAAAGTGAACCCTTCTCCATTGTTGGTGGGATTGTAGACTGGTGCAACCACTGTGGAGATCAGTGTGGAGATTCCTCAAAAAACTAAAACTATAGAGGTTTCATTCTACCCAAATATTTGCCTTCTTGGTATCTACCCAAAAGAATTAAAAACATCACACCACAGTGGTATGTGCACACCCACATTTATAGCAGAACTGTTTATAATAGCTAAATCTTACAAACAGCCCAAATGCCCATCAACCAAGAAATGAGTGAAGAAGATGTGTTTTTTGAACAGTGGAGTACTACTCTGCCATAAAGAAGGATAAACTTGAGACATTTCTGGGTAAATGGATGCACCTTCAGGCCATATGCTTAAATGAAATAAATTGGACACACATGTTAAATACCACATTGTTTCTATGGTGTAGGAAACTGAAAGGGTAAATAAGGACCAAAATGTGTAACAGATATTGTGAAAGAGGAAGAAAATGTCCCAATGGGAAGGGGAACAAGGGAGGCAAGAGGGGGAAAGGGACTAAGGAAGAGAAAAGAAAAGAAAAAACAGAAGGAAAAAAAGGGAAACAAAGCTTTTGTAAATAAGAAGGGAAAGAGGAGTTGAGGGGAGGGTAGTGGAGTGGGGAGAAAAGAAGAACCCCCATCATTATGTACAGATCCAAATTCCCTGTGATGAATGTGATCATTATGTATATCTAAAATGTACCAGTAAAGTTAATTTAAAAAGGTAAGGTCACCATGATTATTCAAGATTGTATGATAATAAGTAGAAGTTTATCTAAATAGTTTCCTTAAACACTATATTTATGTAATAATTTGAAACATGCACCAGAGTATACGCCATTTTGTCAGATTCGGGAATATGGGTAAGGAAGTAACACTCACTCCGCAGGTGGAATTCAGCGCAATGAAGCATATCCCCAGCGTGAACAAACTGATATCCTGACCCTCTGGTGCACAGCTCTGCTTCAGTGTATCCTAAAACAATCTGCCCTCTGTTCAAAAAAAAGTAAAATTAGAGGGATTTAAAACTTAACGTAAGATAAATTCAGTGGTTTATGTTACTTTCTGCAATTTGACATTCAGAATTTCACATGAGTAGAAAAACCCCATGTATGCAAATTGCACTCTTTTGCTTATGGCTAAATTTTTAATTTTTTTCTGAATAAAGCATGGAAATTAGTATGGCTAAAAATGAATTTAACAGAATAAGTTCTAAAGGTCACAAACTTTAATGAAAGTCTAGAATGCATACACTCCATTAGGATTTCCCCATTCAAAAGGAGAAAAGATTGATATGCTTTGATATGCTATACAAATGCTCAGTATCCTCTACTATGTCAATTTTTGGAAGTTACTAAACTTCTAGGGCTAAAAATTCATAATAATAATAGTAATGTTAATAATAATTGTATAAAGTAAGAAATTAGTAATGTAATTAGTGGAATAAACTTTGCAAGTATCATAAGGAATTTCAAAATAATATGATTTGTGCATCTGATGAAATTAACTTAATCAGGACATAATATAAAATGATAACAACTAATATAATAATAAATATTAGAACTTACACTGCACATTGTGTAGAATAAAACACACATTTGATGAAGTAAAAGTTTAAAAGTTTCACTTACTTGGCATCACAACCAGTAGGTGTAAAATCCAGTTTGTGTCTGGTTCTAAAAATGAAATTTTTGGTTCGAATTTCAAGTATGGATGGTGACTGAAGGGGAGTAGCTATAGCAAACAAAGCTAGCTGAGGAGGAAGGACTGATCCATCTTTCCCTTTCTTGTTCTGTCCGTGAAGATACTTTAACCTTCCTTGGAAATTCATTGCCTTAAAAATAAAAGTGCTCATTAAGAAGAACAGTACGAAATACTTCCGTTAAAAAAGTTTTCACCATGACTATTTCCAGGATACCTGATATTGCATGCAAGTTTCTAAGGATGAGAACTTTCAATTACTCCTCTCTCCAAAGGAAGCAAAATTAAACCCACCCCCAAAGTAAAGTGTGAATATTTTAAAGCAATTGGTAAGTGAACCACTTTTTTGCTTCTAAAGGTGACAGCAGGAGTACCTGGACTATTTTCTGTGCTTGCAACTACCCTATCATTTTCATCTTCCACAGGTCCTTGCACACCACCCCTTGATGTATCTGGATGTATTCCATGAATGAATGAATAAATGAATGAATAGGGATAAACCATAATTTTCAAACATGCACTATATTCCATATCATGGTAATCTTTCCTATAGGCACAAAATATAACTTTATTAAAAATACTAAAGTGAACCATTATGAAATCACGTGAAGAATGTACAACCATATTAAAGATAAAAGAGTAAGTTTAGATGACAGAAGATAATTTAACATGATCAGTGTAGGTGACTGAAACAGTATCAAGCAGCCTGAGGAATGATTCTGACGTCTGTCAGGAGCAGAAGGTACACAACATTCTTGCCCTAGAAATTCCATCTCAGAAATACATGTTAACTGATTCTGAGCCCCAGCGCTAGGAAAAGTATGTCAAGTCACAGCTCTAACTCTGGTTCGGCAGAACTGTCTCCAGAAAAAAACAGAAATAAAAAACACTGCTTGGAAATGCTTAATATAAGATTTGCTATTCTACTTCAAATCCTCTGTAATTCACAAAAACAGTTCACATGGTCCGTATTCTCTTCTTTACTTGGCGCAGTGTGCTGTGAAGGATGCAATCAGCGGAAGACTCTGAGAACCCTGCCTCAGCTGCTCCTCAGAGGCGTCCTATGCAGGATTCAGACCACGCATCAGGAAACATGGTCTCATGTCAGGTGATGATTCCACACCAGGAATACACAATCAGTTTTTATATGGCAGTCATTTCACACACATGGAAAAGGCCTTAATTCTCCTATCTAGCAGGCATTAAATCCCAAGATGGTAAGCATCCTCCTATTACATAGAAGGACTAGGTAATTCTCTACCATAGCTAAAAAAAAAGTCCTAAAATGTTGTTTTGTATCTATTTTTTGATACAAGGCTCCATGTTACTTCACCTAGTTTTTATTATTATCCTAAAGGAAAGAGCTTTCTCAGTTATGGAAAATATTAAAAATCTAGAGTAATAATTTTTTTTTTTTTTTTTGAGACAGGGTCTTGCTATGCAGTTCAGGCTGGCCTTGAGCTCACTTTGTAGCCCAGGCTGGTTCTGAACTCACAACAATCCTCCTGTCTCAGCCTCCCAAGTGCTGGGATTACAGGTGTGTACCACCATGCTTAGCTAAAGTAGTAATTTTTAAAAATTACTTTCTTTTTAAAATTATTCAGACCATTTTAAAAACTGAACTCAAATTTAACCAAACAAAACTAGCTTCAGTTAACTTTTCTTTTTGCCTTCTATGCCTTAACAGTATAAGCCGGTATTTTAAGGTTTTGTACCTTACCAGAAAGCCAGATGAATTATCCAGCAAACACCTTAGTCGGCATATGAAGTTCCTTTCCATAAAAGACTTTTCTGGAGGAAGCTGCTCTGAGGTATAAGAGACTCCTGCCTGCAGAAGGCCGTGAGGCTCTGAGGAAACAAAGCAACACAAACTAGACACTTCATTTTGTGGTAAAACTATTCGAATAATTTAAAATCTGTATTAATTTAAACACTGGAGTCTATATTTTGAATTAAGAAATCATTTTTAAAAATGATTTAAAAAACCAAAAACTTATTGGATAACTTTTATCACACAAGACTTAACTTCTGTTTGTATTTTTATTGAGCTATCACTCTCAACAATTTCCGTATTTTTCTTTTTGTTGTTTTAACACTTTTCATCTTTTCAGACTTTTGAAAACACTGCTTGCATTGAAAAATGCTTTTCATATTTGCTTATGCTGTTTACTTTTTTATTTGATTCATTTTAATCAAAGCAGTTATAAGCACTCCAGTTTCTATTTTATACATTTTACCCATCTTTCATGATGGTACCAGAGTTATCCTTATAACATATATTACATCTTTGTATATGGCAACATCTTTTGTGTTTAATTCCTCAATGGCTGTCATGTACGAAATATTCCTTAGATCATCAGGATCTGGTGACCTGGCTCTGGCCTACAGTTACAAACTCACACCTTTTACCATTTTCTCCACCTTTAGCATGGAGTTCTAATCTCTAAAGGTTCCCCACTTCCTTTTACAGAACCATATTAAAAAACCACCAACACTATGCTTTGGTAAACATCCTTACCAGGAACTGCTTGTCCAGAGTCCGTACACTGGGAAGGGTTGAATGCCCAATGGAGCTGACGCTGAAATTCAGCTCGATCTTCAGTGTGGATAAGTTCATACACACTCTGATGTATGACATCAGACTGATGAAAAACGAAACAAGGAAATAAAACAAGAGCATTGATTAAAAAACTATAGGGCTTACTAAAATAACTTCAGAACCTGTCTAGATTGTTAGTGGTGATGAATGTAAAGTGAATGATTGCCAAAGCTCCCTGTCATCCAGAATAGGAAAAGCTAGAAAAAGAAACTAGCAGGATAATCAATAAGCTCGCTACCCATATGAATGTTGTTAATCAACAGCTGACCGCCACATTCCTTCATTCATTAAATGTGCCATATTAAGATCTGCTTATGGTCTTTATCCATTTATTGACCTTTTAAATCCTACCTCTTCCATGAATCCCTCCATGAACACTCAGTCCTCTATTACTTCTCTATCCTTAACACAATTCATCGCACATTTCCTTCACTGTGCCTTGGAAGTGTTCTTTGTTTTAAACATGACTACAAGTACACTCCATAAGAGTAAGGGATCATCCCTTTATCATACTGGAATGCCCTCTTTCCTCATGTCTCTCAGGATTTACTGCAATGTGATATGAAACACGTATTCTCTCTCTTTCTCTCTCTCTTACACGCACAAACATGAACACTTAGAAAAAAATTTCATGAAACACTTACCTTCGTGTGTGATGATATTGTGCACTCTATATTATTTTATTTCATTCCATCCTAAGCAACTAAAAAGAAAGTTTGACGGTGATCCACTATATCAACTGCATTATTACCCAATAGTGAGTCACAAATGCAGTTTTTAAAATGGTGCCTTAATATACTACTATGTCAGAAATGAATGTTTGCTTAAAGAATATTCAGGCTATGTGTATGAATGAGAAAAAGTAAACTGGAACACGGCTAATTTCTTAGATTTTCTTAACTAATATGAACAATAACAGCAAATCAGAGTCAATATAGTTTTGTAATTCACTAAGTTTCAAATAGGCTTTTCTGTATTTCCTTTGAAATCAAAGAAAAACAAAATTTAGACTAGTGGAAGTAGCCAGATTCCATTAGTTTAGTAATCAATTCTTAAATCATCTTTTAGCATTATATTATTTATGACATCTATTAAACAATTGCCAAAATTTAAAACATAAGCTAAAAGATTACATTTCCTTTGGTATGCATAAAATATGCATAGTCAAAACCAGTCTATGTAAGTGTCATATAGTGCTATGCAGACTGGCAACTTGAGGCTACCTCACAGTGTCATACCGACATTATTATTCAGACCAGAAGCCTTAGGAGATTCTTAGGTATGCAAATTCACAGCCATGCTATGACCTACTGAATCAGAGTGTCTGGGCATGGAACTCAGAGATTTCATCAAGTTTTATCAAGTTTTTCATGTGATTCTTATGCACATTACAATGTGAGAACCAGATACATAAAAATAGCAAGTATTCAAGTGTACTGTACTTATAATCAGCTCTCAAGTCCTAACGGATATTTGTGTCCATCAAACACATAATACAACTCCATTTATCCACCATTCATTCAATGCTGTTTAATAAGCCAAACATTTGCTCTCTTAAAAGACTTCCTGCCTACTCCTAACAGAATTTCTACCTTCCTCCGAAGATCCCTATCCTCCCATGTGAGTACTACACATTCTTCAGGTCAGTTTTAATCTATTTCCTTTATTTTCTGTAAGCCACCTGTAAGTTTTTTTCTCTTCTTTTCTTTTCTTTTTTTTTGGACACAGGGTCTTGCTCTGTAATTCAGGCTGGCCTTGAACTCACTATGTAGCCCAGAGTGGCCTTGAACTCATGACAACCCTCCTGCCTCAGCCTCCCGGGGCTATAGATGTGCACCACCACACCTGGCTATTCACCTCAAAATTTTTTATATGAAACTATTGATAAGTCAAAAAAGAAAAATCAATCAATCATATAAACTCTTAACGAAGTCACAGTGCTACCAATTATTAGTATTAGAAAAAATATATTAGCTGCAAAGGAACAATTTTTCATTCTTGTAGCATATATGCACATACACACATTTGTTAACTGATATTTTATATGTACAAATGGTCAACTCTATCCCTAAACTATAAGATCATAAGAAGTAGAAAGTTCATTTTCTAAAACATTTTATTTTAAATGCTATATGAAAAATCTATTTACTTGCTGAAAGCCCAGGTAATCTTGTATAGTTGAAGACACATAAAAGACCAAAGCATCTGTAGTGACAGCCAATACAAAGCCATTCAGAGCCTACAAGGATAAAAAATTATGTCAGTAACAGTAACAGAAATTAAAATTGTTACAACAACCAACTCTCAGATTAAAGAGAACTGCTTTTATCTCTGAAAATTCTTCCCTTCAAAATGTTTGAAACTGTTATACTGCATAAACAGACATAACAAATACCCCTGGTGTCAGAAGATACCTATTTCTATTTTCTGAATAGGAAAAATAGCTAAAGTGAAACCTCAAACACAGAAACTTTAATAGAACATTGATTTTGTCTTTTACCTCACACTCTAGGAGTTTCTCTTTTAAATAGATTATAGCTATTTTGTAAACATAAACTGTATAGAAATCAGCACTATAACCTAGCATATGGTGTTTTATGAGAAATGTAGCAGGTAAAGATGCTGCCTTGAGAAAAATTTAGATAGGAGAAAATATATTTTTCTACACAGATATTTCAAGCACTGATACTCTGTGTAATTTGGATCTTTCAAATAACTATAAAACGTTAAGTCCTTTATTGGAAAACAATACATCTAAAACACAGAATTCAAATATAACGCCTATAAAAATATATAGCACATAAATTTATTCATTAAAGTCTAATGAAATACTAGTATATTCATGTTTAAGCCAACTATTTTATATGTGCTAATGCTATTTACTCTGTCTGCATCAGGCTTCTTTCTCACTATCCCTTGCCTGCTTTTGGTCAGTTATTTACTATTATTCTGTATTATTTCTTTCTTTTAGTTTAAAAGTTGTGCCCTGTTCTGCTATTCTTCTAGCAGGTTTGTTAGTTCAATGTTAATTAATTTTATTCTCTCCTTGGATACCAAAAGTATTTTATATCACATTAAGAGTTTATTGTTATACATTTTAATTCTAAAAGCCTCCCTATTTCCTGCTTAAACTCAATTTAGTACAGGATGTAATTCTTTGCTATGCCATCATGGCTTACCTCTTCAGAGACTCTTTCTCCCAAAAGGTGAAGAAGTGGTCAGGTTAGTGTGAGGACCACACAGTGTGCAGTCACGTGTGGGCAGGGCTCCTATCTCTGTCTCTTACTGGCTTGGTGGCTTACGCCATTTACCCCTTCGAGCTTTGGTGTCATTTCAAAAACTAGCACTTTATTGGGTGGATAAGATGATGCATCTAACTTGGTACCTGCCATAGGGTGAGCACTCAATTACTCTAAGGCACGATACTATATGATAGTGGGAATGAATAAAGACTAGTTTACATGATCATTCCTTGAGAATTATAAAAAGATACATTGATAATAATTAGCTCATTCAACACTTAGCAAAGAGGACAGACGCAAGTCCTGGGGTTGAGCTAACAAGCTGTTGTCCCTGTGCTTATGATGCTCACAGAGCTGAGTGAATACACTCATTATGAGATGAGGTAAAGAAAGTAACAGTAACTCTCCTTTCACTCTAATTCTTTCACGTTCACGACCACTGCTCCATGATATACTTTTGAGAACTTGATTATAAGATCTATTATTTGGCAGGGTTTCTCTAACTGTTCTTATGTACTAAAGTGGCTTAATCCTCTACAAAACTCAAACTGGATACCATATTCCAGTTTTACAAATGAAAAAACTGAGGTACACAACTGTACAAGGTCACACAAGCAGAAAAAGCTGTGCCCGGAGGTTAACTTAGCCTGGCTCAGTAGCCTTTGTAGTTAACCATCATGAACTGATGCCTTGCAAATCGACTGTTCTTGATTGCAAATGGTTGCCTGGCTCTCATTCTTTAACTACAACTGGTGTATTGGATCTGTGATTGCAGAACTAATATATAATACCTGGCAATATTCCCACATATTGAGAACTTGAATATTCCATGATAAACACATCTCAAAATTGATATTCTTACATTTGGTGGGCAGTAACAATGTATTCTCCTATACTGTTTCATCCTAAAAATATCTTTTTTCCTAGAGAATAATAATAATTTATTATTCATATTATTTTAGAGAACTTCTTCCAAAGAGTAAAACAAATGTGGTACATCTGAAACACTCATCAAGATGTCAGAAGACAAAAGGATAATTTAGGACATGATATCAAATCCTTCTAGGCAAGTGTCAGAAATAAAAAAAGAGAACAGATGCTTAACATTTTTTCATAAAGCTCAAATGATCTTAAATATGTATAAGAGCAAGGTTATTACTTATACTGAATTATTTTCTTGACAAATTAACAGAAAGAATATAATAACTATACAAAGACAGCATTCTTTTGGTTTTAGTTACAAATTATTACCCTCTCAAAATCATGTTGAGGTTCCCTTAGTATTTAATGCAATATATGAGAAATAATCCACAAATCATACTGCCTAAGTCCTTTGGAGTTTACATCTGGCCACAAGCTGCCCTGGATGTTGGACATGGAGCTTCAGGATTTAACGTTTACTCCAATGGTTTTCAGTCTTGCTTTGGTCTACTTCCTTTCTCTCCCCAATTCTTTCCTCTTGGGATGGCAATGTTTACCCAATACCACTGTATATTGTATTTAACTTTCTTTTTTATTTCTACAGGTGCTCATACCTAAGAGTTCACTAGACACTTTGGACTTGGACTTTTCAGCAATGATAGAACTTGTAAGCCTGGCAACTCCTAGAGATGGACTAAATGAATATTATAATGAGATGAATATATGCCTTTTGGGGACCAGAGGCAAAGTGTTACAGTTTAGATTTAAAATTTCCCCAAAAGTCTCATGTGTTTGGAAGGTGACTGGATCACAGGTTGCTGTACTCGTGGGTGGACTCATCCTTTAATCATTCATACTTCATGTGCTCTTAGAAGTGGGGCACAGCTGGAGATGCAAGTCACTGGGGCTGTGACCTGGAAGGGTAAGTTCTTGTCCCTCCTTCTGATTTATTCCTTCTCCCTCAGCTTCTGAGATCCCATGATGTGAGCAGCTTTGCTCTGCCATGCCTTCTTCCATGCTCTGTACACTTTGGGGAGAGCTGACCATGGACTAAACACTAAAAATAGCCAAATTAAACCTCTCATCCTTTAATCTGTGCAGGTCAGGTATTCTGTCTCAGCAATGAAAAAGCTGATTAGCAGATTCTTCATAAAGAAACACGATCTTAAGCAAATGTCATGCTTACTGAAGAATAGTCTACAAATGGTTATCAATATAATTCACAACATGTGGATTCATTTTAACTGCGGAAGGGTCTTCAATTTTCAGATAGTTAAGAAATGTGTAATTCTAGCTTTGTATTAGTACTGTTCTGTGTCCTTGGCAAATGATATGCCTGTCTAAACATTTTTTTAAAAAAATCACTTGATCATAATTTAAACCAACTTATGAACTGCTGGGTCAATCAATCCATATTTTCACTTGGAATAAAGGATTTCTTTAACTTAATATACAACTCAAAATGTGTCTAGTCACACTAAACAGCAATTATTAGAATGTTTTCCTCCTACCTGAATGAGGAATTTTCATGTTTTAGCTAAATATACAGAAAGAGCTCCACCAGGGAGTGGGAGAGAAACATGCTTGAATATATTCAACTTATTTAGCATCATGAAAGCATGGTAAATTTTGAAAAACACAGAAACTTGGACACAATTAGAATAAAAGTATTATAAATTATTAGGCTGCACTGTTGCATTAACTAATGAACTAACGGGGTTACTAAAACTGGTGGCAACTTTTTGTCACATAGCAAACTCAGTTCTTCCATTCGGATCACCGAATGGAACTGGAAATGATCATGTAATGACAGGACCTATTATAGCATACATCTCATTCTATCTTATTTCAACAAAATAAGCTTCTGAAAATGCTAAGTGAGAATCAAGCATAGTGTAAGTTCTAAAAGAAAGAAAACAGACCTTAAAATGATTTAGAATGCTTTCACAGACAAATTAGAAACTCAGACAAATTTAAACAGACAAATTTAACATATTTAAACAGACAAATTTAACAAACAGACAAATTTAAACAGACAAATTTAACAAAACAGACAAATTTAAACATAGAAAGTAGGATTGAAGTTTTTGAGAAAAACTATAGCACATGAATTAAGTCAACATAACTGCTGAAATGAAATACAAATTGCAAGACAATACTGAAAAAGTTCAGATTAAGAAAACATTTAAAATGTTAAATAAATGCACTTAAGTATTTTTATTGAGCTAAATTATGGAAAGAAATACATGCCTTAAATACAACATGTAGGGTGATGACATAAACTCTAATGAATACACTTCACATAATTTCATTTTATCGGGTAGTAGTGTACACCACTGCTATGGCTCATAAGAAAATGGCACAAAACATTAGGTGGGAATTAGTAAAAGATCAGTTGGTTAATCTTACATTTACAACTTTCCCTATTTTAAGAAACTATATTTACTAAAACTTACCTGTAATAAAAGTTCTCCTTCTTGCAAATTCAAATGATCTCTGAACTGTGCTCCACAGTTATCCTGGCCTCCATTTCTATTGGCAGGGGAGGATTTTAATGCAACTGTAGAAAAAAACAGTAACAAAGTCGGTAGATTTTAAAATAAGCAATATTAAAGAGCTGTAATAGAATATCTCTGACTACCAAATACAGAGAATAATTTGAAACACTGGCATCTACTGAAACTACAATGACTGTGTAAATAAGTCTTTTGCCAGTAAGTCGTTTCCAATTCTATACTAATAACAAAATTGAAGTATATAATCAAGCTGTCAGCTGACAGGTTGTTAAATAAAATTTTTCATGATTTCACTATAGTCTCATCGTGTGACTTAGGAGTCTGAAAGGACTGTGTGATACTGGCATAAGCACTTGCCATTCCTATTTACTTGTTTATGAGACTAAAGAATGTAACCTACAAAAATGATTTTAACATCTGTCAAGGAACTAGTGGTAGAAAGGAGAAAGAAGCAACCATATGCCTTATTAAGCAATGTAGAATCCATTGTTTCTAAAAAATGTAGAATCCATTTGTTTAGCTCTTGGGTTAAAAAAAAACCTGTTAATACTGTTATTAGGTTCATGTTAAATTTATAAATCAACTCATGGAGAATTAATACATTTATGTTGAATTGTCCTATCAAATATATATTGTTTTCCACTTGTTCAACTCTATTTTTTGTCCTGTTTAAAGTTGTTCACAAATAAGATTTGATTTATTTGTATGTTTATTCCTAGGTACTTCATCTTATAAAATGTTTTTTCCTTCATTACCGCTTCTAACTGCACATGGACTGCATTCACAAAAGGAAGTATGAGGCCATGGTAGGATGTTTACATTGGAGGCAGCACGCCGTACTGCTACTTCTTGTCTCCTCTCACTGTGTAAGAGTGTGTGTGTGTGTTTGAGTTGGGAGACAGCACAGCTGAAATGGAAGTAATAACTATAGCTCCATTTACTTAGGCATTTGATTAAACACTTAAAGATATCTCAATGAAAAGCATGGGTTGCATGCCTGTAACCCAACATTCTTTGGATGGTGAAGCAGGAGGATGGCAGGTTTGAAGCTAACCTGGGCAACTCTAGGAGACTCTGTCTCAAAAAAAAAATGTGAAGTGCTGAGGATATAGCCCAACGGCAGAGAACCCCTGGGCTTGATTTCCAGTGTGTCAAAAACAAAAAACAAAACAAAAAGAAACCACGTGACTAATGCTATCTGATATATCTAACAGACATGGGTGTAAATTGTAGCTTTGCTATTTACTAAATGGGCTAAATGGGTAAGTTTTTGAGCCTATTTCTCTGTGTGGAGTGGTAATTAAAACAGAAGTCCATCCTATTGAGAAGGGTAATGAGAATATAGCTGGAGTTCTTGATATACAGCAGATCAACTGTTAAATAAAAGGTAGCTTGTATTACTAGCAGTGTTTCCAGAGCCTAACAACTGCCTTCTTTTAAATATAATCCTTAAATAATTTCGTTTTTTTTGGACCAGGAATCGAACTCAGGAGCTCGCGCTTGCCAGGCAGGCACTGTGCCACTCAGTTATATCCCTGGCCCATAATTTCCATTTTTATCTTTCAACTTTTCTGATCTTTTTTTAAACTTGTCATATTTAAATAAAAGAAATCACTAAACAAAATTGACTTGTCAGTCCTTTTAAAACTTTTTATTAGATTTTTATGTGCTAGAATAATCTGGCTCAGGGAAAACGCAAGATTTACCAATGACTAGATTTTCTCGCAGTTTAAGTAGTGTATCATATAAACATTTTTCATGTTTGCAGCATATTTTCTGGTAAACCATCAGTGCACGTGTCACACCAGAATCATGTGCCAAGTTCTTGCCTGTGCAGAAGTTGAAAGCTATCTCTCTGAAAGAAGAGATCAGAAGCCTGGCCTCTGAATATAACAATTTCAAAAGGCCAGAGAACAGATTTCCTTAGGGCAAAAAATAGTGAGGCAAACTCATCTAACAGTTTATCAAGACCAAAGAAAATTTAAACTTCGCATTGAAAGGTAGCGAATTACCTTATCTGTAAGTTATGTTCTTGCTGCTTTTTAACAGCCCAACTTGCAATGCAATGAACGCTCACAATGGCAAAGTGAAGGACAGTCTGCCACTTTCCCAAATACTTAAATATAAAGCACAATTTAAGTATAAAGCACAATTTGCACTAAGACTTGCTGGTAAGAAGAAACAAAACCCAAACCCTTACATTACAAAATATGCAAACTAAGCCTAAAAATGGACAGATTATCACAGTGTCAAATTACAAATGCCTTAGTAACCATGAGGGATCTTAAAATCAACTTTTAATCAGTGGAACTGATGTCAGTTCCAACTAGAGTCAACAACGGTAACATTTCTTAACCACAAGAAGTTGAATAAGAAAAACAGTATTTACCTCAGAGTAATTTTGATTTCTTTTGCATTAAGGCTTGTATTAAGGTTATTAGACAATGTAATTAGACATGAGGTAGACCTTGCCTTTAAGTAGGGTACACAAGCTACGGACATAAAGAACCAGAAAAGAGCGTAAAAAATATTGTGCCAGAATGGGATTTAATTAAGTATCACAGGAACTTGGAAGTTAGAAAAAAATAATGGAGGAATTCATCTTTCCAAACAGCAAGGCTTTTAACTAAAAATGCTGGAAGGGCGATATTGAATATGTGCAACTATTACTTACGCACACTTTGGGGACCATCGTGGGAGGTTCTATTTTTATGTTGGTTATCAGGAAAGGATTTAAGTAAATATTGTGCAAAGATGAGTTCAGGAAGGGTGGGATCATTTCCCAATGTCATCTAAAAAATACTATGGTGACGTTTTACAAAACTTGTTTTATGCCTAGTTCTCTCAATCTAAACTACATAGTTTTTAGCCTTCTATCAAGTTTTCCCTCTAGTTGCTGTCTCATAAACACTAATCCTCTCTTCTTAAAATGACTAGAAGGTATATTAATACTATTCACCTTCGTGTAGGTATGGATGGCATTAATTAGAAAGCAATGGAAGAGTAATAAGATAACACGAGATTCTATCACAGGGCTACTTCCTAACATTAGAGTGACTTTAAATTACTTAGTAACAATATATGATAATTATCACACTCTCCACCCAGCACTTTCCATATCTTATTTAATGTCCATAATCGTCTTAAGAGACTGGTACTCTTGTTTTTTCAATACATGAGGGAATGGAGACTTTTGGATGTTAAGAAAAGACCTAGGAAAGAACAATTATAATTTTTAGTTTTAAATAAAGTTAACAAAGTTGCATGACAAACAATGAGGCAAAAAATATTAGACCATCACATCTAACATTACTTCTAAGATTGTACCTAATAAATGTTAAATCATCACATCTAATATATTGTCTTTCCCATAGTATTTTAGATTTCATGAATTTAAAATATTCTAATGTAAATAATTGTGAGCTTTGTAAAATGGTATTTTAAGCATATACCATGAATCAAGGACTCAGACGTTCCTCTACCTCTTAGTCTTTGAAATAGTAACTTGAATTCAGAAATTCAGGTCTGTATAGGCTAATAACAACCTATAAAAAAACATCTTTTTTTTGTTTCTAAGTCTTTTTCCCCACAAATTTATACATCTCAATTATGAAGGTCTCACAAAAATAGTCTATGACTCAAATATAACAGAGGATATTAAACATTTCTTGTTACTGTAATGTTACATTTTAAATGGTACAATACAATAAATATCTTACTGAATTAATGAATGCCACATGATATCTAACCACTACTACTGTGAGGGAAACATTTTTCTGCCTTTTTCTTCTCATGAGATATTTAGCCTTTTAAACACAAAGACAGTCATTTCCAAATTTTTATTTTTTTTCCCCAAAATTTCATTTTTGGGATTGCTACTAAAAATACAACACTTACATGCAGATGAACATTTCCAAAAGGTAATAAGGAAATGTAATTAAAATTAATACATATTGAAATTACTCTTAGAATAAAATATCACACTGATGAAATTGGTGAATAGTCTAGTGTTTATTGTTTGACAACTATTAAGATACAACAACCCTAACATCAACCAACTTCAAAGATTAGGTTGTAACCACCCAAATCCTAGTCCCTGTAAATAAACTACTGTTCTTCATAGTCATTAAATGATTTATATTTTGTAAAATACCTTCCATCTCAGGATAGTGTGATAACTGACCTTAATACTCAGTAATGTCACACTAGTTCTACTTTACCCCACCTGAGAAATGACTAAGTCCTGCTGAAGTACTTAATACTTATATTTTAGGATGTTTCAGTTAATGAGAAACAGATAAATATAAATGATTCACTTCAAATGGAGACACTGCTTTTCAGACAGCAACAGTAATGTATTCATGCCTCCAGAGTTTAAGAAGATCCATCCAAGTTGGATTATTTAAACTTGCAATAAATAGATGTATTTTCTTGGAAAAATATCTATTGTTATAGTAAAACTTGAGTTTCCTTTCTGAAAAGATTGTATGATTATTCGTTTATATTGTTCTTTCCGCAGGAATTTGCACACCCCTTGTTTGCATCCTGTTATTCATTTTGAGCTTCCCTTCACTTTGCTATACAGTTTCCCTAACAGTGGGAGAGGGAGTCTAAGTGTACAGGAAAACCCTAAACACCGAAGCATGCTCCAAGTTTCTGACTTTGCATATAGCATTTTTCAGTTCTAAGGGTTACCCCAAATTTTATGCTCTGAAACACTGTGTTGTCATTCCAGACCAATGACATTCTGGAGAAGATGCTGAGATCTTTTTTGTTTTTAACTAATTTGTACCCCTCACCTTCCCTCTAACTCTATATTCCTTCCTCTATAGAGTAACCCAGGGTACTGTGTAGGACATATACACGATACTAAAACCTAAGTAAACACACTTATGGTCTTTCTAAAATTTTGTTATGGCGAACCAAATAATTTTTTTAAACTAGTTAAGGGCACAATCCAGGCCAGGCTAAGATGCTGCTGTAGACTCTGTAACATGCTTTTCAAAATTCTGATTTCTGTGTTTTTACATAAAATCCATTGAGTAAGCACGTAAGAGGCATGCCCTAGAATGTGCATTTCAACATGCTTTCCAGGTATTCTTGTGCCCACTGAATTTGGAAACAGCAGCGTACAGATTCTAAAATTAAAAATATTATAATTGATGAAATAATAAGACCCTATTGTAGATAATAAGATCCTACTGTCAAATACACTAGATCACAAGAAAAAGTAAACTAACTTATTAATAAAGAGCTGAGAAAATACTCTTTAACAAGAACTCCATGATGAGCCTTGTTACACTATAACATTCTTTAGAAGGTAAACCCGGAATCTCCTTTATTTGAGGCACTCAATAACAGAAGTCAAATTATATATGTATGCACATGTGTATGTATATGTGTACATGCGTGTACGTATGCGTGTGCTCACATACACACATATCTACCTAGAAGGCAGAAATTATGCTAAGACTTGAAAGGAACACTGGTCACACAAAATACCTTCAGTTTTGTTCTATTAGACAGTCTACCTATTTTTTAAAAAACATATGTAGTTTGACTTCTCATTATAAAAGACAAGCAAATGGAAAAGTAAAATAACCCAAGTCAATAAATCTATACCAGACTCAAGCTTCTAGGCATAAACTCTAACGGTAGGGATGACATCTTGCTGGAATCCCTACCAGTCAGGCATTAGGGCAGCATGTGAGTAAGTGCTAAGGAACAAGCCAGCATTCCAGGAACCTGGGCATGGGCATCAGGTTACAATCCACAGCAGTGGCCCCAGACATCAACATGCACCTAGACCCACAACCAGTATATGATTCCATAGTCTAGGGTGAGGCTCAAGAATGAGCATTTACAACCATTTCACAAGCGAGGCTGACGCTGTTCACTGAGGACATTTGTGAAAACCAGAGACCTAGGGAGAAGTCCTCAGAGTTTGCTATATGAGGGTTCCCAGAAAACAAAGACTAACTGAGATTCAATCAGAAAAAATAATACATGGAATCCAGAAGTTGTATTCTACTTTCACCTCTCTCACAAAAGACTGTAGAGCTGATAAACCTACACATAATACACAGATCTGTCACTAACTACTGCATAAGTCATCCCCAAGATGAACCGTTTGGTAAAACAAAACTGAAAATTCAAACACAGAGAAAATATAATGTCTACTGCAAAACTTTTAAAAGTTCATAGAAGGCTGTCCATTCTTTCCCTGAAGTCACTACCTCCTATCAATAATATACTGCCCAGATCATAACTGTTGAAACTCTACAGCTTCTATCCAAAAAAAAAAAAAAAAAATCATGTAAGTAAGCTTACAAACCAACACATAAAAAGGTGCTCACACCAAACACATCAAATCGTATCAACATAAATCTAAAGGAAAACTGTTACACAACATTCTAAATACAAATTACAATTTCAGTCTGTAAACATGTTGTCTGGAAACTGCCTGATGACCTAGTCACGCACTATCAGCATCATCTGAACGCTTCCTAGAAATGCAAAACGTGTGGCCACACCCGAGCCACCTGAAGAAGAATCTGCACCTTAACATGATCCCCAGGTAATTTGTCAGCACTCTCAAGTTTGAACGGCACTGAGACAGGCCACTGAGATTCTACCACAGTCTGTAAAATAACATGACTTTAGAAAATTCCCTTGAAAAATCTATGTTTGATTTATATACAGACAAAAGAGAATTATTTTACATGAGAAAAGTCATTGAAATATCATTCAAAACAAAAACTTCCCATTTAAAATACTCTTATGACGAAATATTGTATGATTGATGGTAAAAGGTAGCACCTAGCCAGTGAGCTCCAAACTCCAACCTTTACAGCTAAGTAGACTAAGGTACAGGGATGCTGCCTGGTTTGGTTAAAGTAAAAAGTTTGTCAGTAGCACAACGGAGAATGAAATTCAATTCCTTTAACTCCTATACTAACATGTGCTTTCTACTGAGGAAAAATGTTTTTAACTACATCTTCTTATAGTAAACATACATTTTTGTTTGCTTTGTTGTTTTGCCGGTACCAGGTATCGAACTCACGACCTTGCACTTGCCAGGCAGGCGCTGTGCCACTGAGCTAAATCCCCAGCCCCTAGTAAACATACATTGATATAAGAGATTAGAAGTACCTATAATTTTGAAAAGAAAAATACAACACAGCCATGAAAACAGAAATCATAGTGTTAATGTGTATCTTATTCTTGCCTTCTAAAAAAGAGAAAGACACTTTAAACAACTGAATTGGAAGAAGAATAGAACTAGAAATGAACATACATAGTTGGAACACATTTCTAAATACATGATTATTATACAATGACCCGTAACTGTAAGTGGCTGCTCTGTTTGATGAATGGAACCAGAAAATTGATTTTAGGAGCAATCACAAATTTGACTTTGCCACTTCAAGTTTTCCATATAGCAACAGATAAAACTTTTCTCACACATGGCTGATTTTTATACTGATCAACACAAGGACAGCTATACTCAATATGAAGATTTTGTAAACTACTGTAGAGAAATCAAAGCTACCATCATACCATCAAAGAAGCTTTTGGCTCTCAGGTAACTGACACTGAGCCTCAGAACCGAGAGTTTGTCCAGCTTATTAATAACATCTTGTGGAAAAGGCAGCAGACTAGCCAGACGGTCCAACTCTGTATTAAGTCGATCTCTATGTCGCTTGGAAGGATTTGACTTGACTCCTTCAGCTGGGACCGGCTTTACTCTGAAAAGCAAGCGAAAGACCATAAAAATCCTTTAAAAATAGAAAGCAAAAATAGCTATTGCATTATAACATCTCCTTAAATATTTTTGGAATATAACAAACTTTAAAAATTTACTTCAAATTTACCTACATCTTGACCAAATCTTCCCTTCATATCTTAACTAAGTAAAACAGGGAAGAGGTAAAATTCTTCCTAATGTTTTATTTAAAAAGCTTATAAACTCATCATAGGAACATGCTAAATACATATTGGGGAAATGCTTACCTATATTTCATGCACATATAGTAATCTGCAGTTAACAAGTCTACTAGAACTTTTTTCTCCCTCAGACATAGCCATTGTGAGATGAAAAAAAATAAATTATGTGAAAAGTGTGCCTTCTCTGTTGTCTTCCCTGAGCAGCATCTCAGCATAATTTATGTTGCAAATAAATAGAAAAAGAGTAAGTAAAGCTTATTTTCACCACTCCAGCCTCCACTTTCACCTCATTAGTGAAGACTTCCTAGACCCCTCTCATCACCTAATACAGTCCCTTGTCATTTGATACGGTCCTCAAATGTTAAAACAAGAACGGATTTGATTTTACTGATATTTCCTGAATGACAGATATTGGGTGGTTAATTCTGATTAACAGTAACTTTTGCTTTCTTGACTGAGCAGATTCTATTTAATTATTAGCTTTCGTTGTGTTAGAATGTTCAATTGGAAAGTTCGATAAAACCCCCAAGAATTCCACTCGACATTCACCTGACAGAAATGAGACTTATGGGAGGGAGAGGAAAATGAACTCAGAAATGAGAAATTGGAAACTTTCACACAAAGGCCTTCACCAAGATTTCACTGCAGAAATCAATCACTTATAGCGAATTTATAAATCATCACACACCCATGCTAAAACATAAAGAAACTAAAAAGCCAAGATAATTTTAAGGATATGACTCTACATATTTCCAGTGTATTCGTACAACAAAGACATTTGTGATAAGCCAAATGGAATTCTATTGTCATACAAAGCAGAAATTAGCTTAGGTACAATGCTAGTAATTTGCTTTGATCAAAACACTTCTAGATAGTTTATTTTTTAGTGATATTTGTAGAGAAAAAATATTTTGTGTAAGAAGATAAAGTATATATGAAATTTTATTATGCTTTTACATTGTCCATAAGCAAGTAATTTCTCTAGGACTGAACTATTTCTGTATTTCTTTATTACAGTTCATATTATTTCTCTTTTAAAAAGGGTAAGAAGTTGGTAAAGTGGTACATAGCTAGAAGTCAGTACTTCCCCCAGACTATTTGTATAATTGCATATTAAACAAAAATTGGTGACTGTTTCCCTAGCTACCTCCCCCTAACTACACAATACTCATTCATTATCAAATTTAAGTCATGCCTAATTACTGCATTTCTCCAATGAACCAACTAAATTTCAACTTTCACTTATGCTTCTTTACTTTCCTGTATAATTCTCTACTTGTTAATTACTAAATTGTTACAAACCACTTATTTGTACCTATCATATCCTGCACCCAGCTAGCATTGTGGGTGCTAAGTAGGAGTAACTGTGTGATGAAAGATTTTACAGAAAAAGCAGCATCTGGGAGGAATCTCAAAAGATGAACGGGATTTTGTGGGAAAGCAAAACTAGGGCGGACTGAGCCATGAAGCCTCCTCGCTGCACTGTGATTCCCAGGGAGAAAGACAGAGAAGGGACAAGAAGTTTGTGGCCAAATTCTTTCAACAAAGACTCCACACCCATGATGATGTGCCAGGTGCAGAATACTGAGTAGTGAGCACAACATACAAAAGCTTCTGTTCTCATGGCGCTTACTTTCCAGTTGGAGGACAGATGATAAACTTAGTGCTTTTCCAGCTGGAGGGTGTTCAGAAAAAGAAAGCAAGGAACTAAGAAGTGACGGGGATTCTGGTTTTGATAGCCAGGGAAAGCGCCTGGTGTGACGTATCACCACAGACACATATACAGTGAAGAGGGTGTCCTGTGGGTATAATGCAAGTGTTCAAGATGCAAGAAACTAAGTTTCCTCAAAGTCACGGTAGAAAACTGGACTTTGGTACCCAGGAGTCATCCAAAGCTCTGAGGTGTAGTGGATCCTTCTCATGTTTTGAAGGCAATAAAGATTATGGGAAGCAGAGGAGGGCTTGCTAAAGTTAAGATTCTCTCACCAGGAACTTCTTTCTGAAACATAAACCTCTAGCACTCCTCTAGTTAAACTTTCAGTAGCTTTGAAGTGTCCATATTTCCTAGTTTAGCACACAAAACCCTTCAGGATTTTTCCAGCCTCATTCAACCCTCTGGCTTCATTTGTTCTAGCTAAAAACACTTCTTGTCCATTATACCTTAGTTAAGAAATTTCCACAGTTGTCAACATGGATGCTCTGCAAGTCCCTGCTCATGACCTTCATAGTCCGCTGTCCTACCTCCCGAAGGATTAGCTGCTCTGCTCCAGAAGTCTTCTGTATCTTATATACAAATGTCTTGTACAACCATTCCACTAAGGAATATTCTGCACAGATAACTGCACATAAAGTGAAACTGTGTACACAAGCTAGTCCTGCAGTCTTGATAGCTGTCCAGTAATGATCATGAAACACTGGCCAGAAGACAGCAACACAGACACTGAAGTAAGACAAAGAGAGTAAGACACAGAGAAGTAACAGCACTTACAGGTACTTCTCTCTAGGTGGTATCTTGTGCTGCCCCAGTTCTATTCAACCCTATGTGATATTCCCACAGCCTCTGTAGTACTCAACCCTGTGCAATACCGTCAGGCTGTTTCTTTACACAATGCAGAACTGTCTATATGTCCAACATATTACTGTGCATCTTATTAAATATTTAGCATAAGATCAAATTTCTAAAAGTATTTAGTAATTCAGTCACATGTATCTGTTTTTCTGGCACTCTCATTACTCTAAATATGGGCATTTTGCTACCCTCAGGGCCCAGCATAAAGGATGATACAACTAGACTCTCAGATGTTTGCCAGCCACAAGTGTTGAGAGAAGAAATAAATGATCAGAGCCTGACAAAAGGTAAAGGTGGTGAGGACAAGAAAGGAGTGGCTTGAGGGGAGATTTAAACCTGACTCAGATATCTGCTCAACTACGGACTGAAAGGAGAGGAAAATGTTGAGTGGGGCAAGGTTACAGACAACTCTGAGGCCTCTAGCTCAGAAAAATAACTACACTTCCTAATGAGGTTTACCAAACAAGAGGAAAGTGGCTTGAATGGTACAAAGCTGGGTGGGGTGGAGGGCTGAGGTGCAGGCAAACGACCAAGGAGGAGGAATTAAGACAGAGCAGAACCAGGGCAGACAGAGTACTTGGGGGTCACAGAAAAAGTCAAATGTACTTGCTTCGGGAAATTAAGAAATTATAAGGACTTATGAGTAAGGCCAGGGCTGAGAACCAACCTCTGGACTCAGCCTTTCACATCTGCTGTCTGTTCCACTCGATTTGAAGCTTTTCAAGTTTCAGACTGTTAAACCTACAGTGATATATTTGGTCCACTTGTTCACCGATTCTTTGGAAGGACTCAGAATTATTTTGTGAAAACATTTCATAATATATCTGTACACATGAAAGATGAGCAGGATAATCATATGTGAAGACTAATCTTATACCAACTGTACTTACATTATGCCAGCATTTTTACTTTTATATTTTTATACCAAAATACACTGACAACCATTATTTAAATAAAAGGCTGCACTTTAGATATAAATTAACAGCTCTATAAGATTGGATTTGGGCACTCTCGGGTTCAGCAATCTGAAACAGACTGTAAGATGTTAAGGAGGCAAAGAAACAACTTACTATTTTTTTAAAGCTCAACCTCAAAAATCTTGTCCCAACCTGTAAGTCAGAACTGTTGTGAAATCAGGGCCCCAGCGGCCTAGAAGCCACACTTCTGCTCTTGAAGCACTGCACACTGTAATGACTGGTGGTAACAGGCCCAATGTCCAATCCCAATCTGATGCTTCTTAATGTTGCAATCTAAAATATCTATCGGGCTCATCACTTGTGCCCAGTTTTTGAAGCAAAATGAACAAACAAAATAACAATCCAGATGAGTGAGTATAAGTGCCTTATATAATACTTATTATAAAAAGTCGAAATGACATGCAGAAATAGTTTCAGCAATCCTATGAAACTAAAATGACATTTCCTAACAAGTGATCACTTCTCAAGAGTACTGAGCTTGCTCTGTCGGCAGTTCCCTCTGGGCAATTTAATCTACTCCCACTGCGTCAGTCTACCTACCAATGATTTGCTTATCTTTATTTGCAGTCCCTGTGCCTGAATGTCCTCATTCATGTTTTCTAGAACACAGATCCTCCTCCTTAACATCCACTATGGTGCTATTCTCCATCTACCAGGTCGAAAATATAAAGTACAGTATTGCTTAATATAACCCGATAATCTCCACTTCCTCCTGTTAGCTTCAGTGAATACTTACTTCTGAACGAGATCACTTAATGCATACAATCATAAACTGTGTGATCAGTGTAATATGACAGAATGGAATTGATGTATATAGCACAGATACTGTCAAACTTTAATATTAGACTGAATGCAGGTGGATATTTTATATCTCTACATAAGGCAAAGAAAATCTATGAAAACTTCTGAGAATTCTGGTCAGAAGCCACTTTGAATGAATAAACATTCTACTGTCACTCTCTTATTGCTGCTCTCCAGTTGTGTTGGGTTCTTTGAGGAAAAATGAGGTATAAAAGCATAATTTCCAACGCAACACACTAATAGTAAAAACCAGGAAAAAGAAATATGCTTTAGAAATCACTATTTTTTTTTTTTTTTTTTTTTGGTTTTTCTCCGGTACCGGGAACTGAACTCACGACCTTGCGCTTGCCAGGCAGGCGCTTTTGCCGCTGAGCTAAATCCCCAGCTCCTGAGCTAAATCCCCAGCTCCTATTTTTTCCATAATCCTGAAAAAGTTATTATGGATGTTCTTTCTCTCTTTTTCCTATGTATACACATACACAATTTTAAGTA